CTGCTGTCTTTTAACCAAATGACTGATGTCAACGCGGTCAGGCGGTTTTATTTTCATAAACTTGAACCGGGAAGCATCGGCGCATTACCGTGGCATCATCCGGACAGTACCGGCATCACCCGTAGCGTTACCGTGGCGAAATCGGCGATGGTCGGAATGGACCGTGAATGAAACTGTGTCTAGTCGGGCCTCCACCGGGAACAAACTGGAATACACCGGATTAGCATCCGCATTTACCGTATATATCCGGTGCTATATCGGGTACTGAACCGTGAAAAGACCTGGGCTCTGTCGGGGATTTGTAAACGCAATTTGATTTTTCAGAAAATACACCACGAAATATCCCGATTCACCGGCTTAAGACACCGTAGCGATACCGTGGTCATTACCGAGGCTTTACAAGTCACCTGCTAATCTGAATCAGCAGTGAGAGACAAATCACTACACGAATGATTGTCCACGGAGAATTTTAGACTTGCCCGAGCATTAGATTAAACCGATCCTACAAATAGTGCCTAAGATTATACATGTTCAAACACTGCCTAAAGCAGGACGACCTGAGGTCCTTAATATGCACAAGATTACAGCAATAGACTGGTAACTGGTCGGTGGGAACGGCATTAAAACTGTTAAAATCCAACAAAAATTACTGCCGCAAAGTGCTTGGTATTTCAATAATAAAGGTTGAGTTTTATGTTGTCTTATTTGTTATTTTTCGTCTTTCATTACCTCAAGTGATACACATTTTCATGCAATAACTCCTGCATTACTGGGCAGCGAAAGCAAGGCAGACGACAACTGACGACAGTTGCCCGTCATCTTTCCAAGCTTAAACCAAGTCAAGTCAAGTCAAACAATTTATTGGATGTTCATCTGCAAGTACAATACAAAGTACAGAAAAGTAAGATACATTATAAATTAAACATTATAAATTATACATAAACATATGTTTCAGTGTACAATAATTCAAACAAATAATATACAAGTACATTAAATTGTTAGTTGCATTGCTGAATAAACAAATTTTGACAAATTAAGCTATATAAATATATAAATAAAGTATCCAATGGATATTCTATGTGAGTTCACCTAAATTTGTAGAAGTGGTCTTTGCTTTCCATATGCTCGTCATATAGCAACAACTAAAAAGTCAAGTCTTAATTTTTGTTTGTTGCTTTTTATTTTATTAATATGTGTATTTTATTTTATAAAAGGATAAAAAAATCAAAAGGGAACAAAAATATCAGAATAATCTTAAATGTATACAAAAACTTAAGAGTCAATCATTGCAAACGAAAGCAAAACAAATTATGAACCTTCTTTTGCCATTATATGCCACGGATGATTGCTGGAACATTCCTGATACTAGAACATGTCATTTCGCACTAATTTTGGTTAACTACAATACAAAAAAAAAAAAAAAAAAATCATAATCAATAAAACTGATTCACCCTGACAACACCACTACCAACCATACCCCCGTCGTGCCCTCTCCTTCTGCATACTCTATTTACTTCTTTAACCACATTAAAATAATGTAATTCTTTTATTTTTATTATTGTGAATGTCGTTTTAGCTCAAAGAAAAAACATTTAAGCAATTGAAGTTTATTCAAATCAATTTTTAATACAAAGTTTATAAACAACAACGTTTTGTTGATACGAAATACACAAATCAACAAATAGCAACACCATTGGAAAAAACGAAAGAAATCTAAAATACTTTGACAAACATTTATGATTAAAAAACATTCAATTGTAATACTTTATAAATATGTAAAATACATGACAATTACAAACTTTACATATAACTGATAATGCCGGATAACTTCGTTTTCTTGTGTTCTTTTCGCTATTTTCATGCGCATGAGTAAACAGGATCGTGGACGTACTTGTCAGTGGTGTTTTTGTTAATGTTTGACAAAATTTATTACTCGTTAAAGCTGCGTTGAGGATGCGAGGGAAAAAAGAACTTATTATGTGTAGGAGACGACCTGGTTAAACAGAGCTAAAGTATCTGAAATTTAACTTGATAGTAAAAGAACAAATGAATGTAGATAGTTTGTTTCGAGACTCCTTTAGATCAATAAAAAATTAGACGCGTACGATACCATGTCAGAAAAATACTTTAATGTTATTTTACTAATTTTACAATGGCCAATTAGATTCCGTGGTTTCAGATTGTTAATTTAAAACGACCTAGGAAATTTTTACATATATTCAATTCTACCCTGTAAATTTTACAGGAAGTCAAACTGAAAACAGACCGGCCTTCGGCTAGAAAAATGCAGTCAATATGTCACTTAAATATTCTTACCTATATGTACAGTGGTTGTTGGCTTGTTGTGACGTTTAACGCAATACATGACGACGCCACCAATAATACAGCAGCAGAACAAGGATCCAAAACACCCCCCAATAATGCCACCCGTATTCTTTTCTTTGCTGTCTCTAAGAAATAAATAAGAGTTTATGTAAGATTCTTCATCGTTCTTCCTACATTAAATATTTCGTCAAAGAGATCTTAGTTTTGCTTGTTTATTTCATTAGGCAGCCCATCCAGGAACAAAAAATACTGCGATAGTGGTAATTAACAGAACAGAACAGAACAGAATTTTTATTAACGTATACAATACATGTATCTTGTTAATACAACATCAAATAAAATACATACAATGATAAGCACGTGATAAGCAAACATGTTTTCAGTGTTTCACAGAGAATGAACAAATTATCATAATTGAAATAACTTCAAAGTTGGTGTTTGCAGAACCAGCGCGTTCTGACAATCGTATGTGGTAATTTCATATATTTAAATATAACATAAATATAACATATTGAAAAGCATAACTTCGATGTAAACATGTCAAGATAATACTCACTTAAGGAAAAAAAAGTAAGAATCTTGATGCATATACGATTTCAAATAATACTGTCTAGTCTAGAAAACTTTTTTTTATTTCAAACATTTATTAAATTCTTTGCATTAAATCATTTCTAATTTTATTGGCTGAGCTTATGTATTTACTCAGATTGATCAGAACGCCTTTATTATTTGACTGTAGCAATTCTAGAAATTTAAAGATCCTGTATGTTTTGTGATTGATTTTTTTACTGTGTGAATACCACACTAGCAAAAAATTATATATGTACATATTTATGCAAATAAAACAATTTTCAAACATCGAAGAATATGTAAAATGTGTACTGCAAATATTTGTGCACATTTTATTTAATCAATAAATTACAGGCATTCATTTCTTATTGCAAAATTTGACTTAGAATTTATAGAAAATAAATTTCTAATTACCTCCCTTTATTTACATGAAATGTTAAATTGGGTAATATCTTTATAAATAATGCTTATTGGAACTTACAATATTGACAAATCTTAATTTGAGCATCATATTTATGAAATAAAACCATGAAAACATTGTGTTACATACTAGTATGTACATAATAATAACGTTTGATATATTTAGTTCGCAATACTTTATAAGTTTTACATTTAAGTACAAAATGAAATTCATCTTCAATTTCGTTGATATCACATACTTGGCAGATACGTTCCTGTCTTTCCAACCTATTCCGGCCATACCTGGCAGATTCAATTCTTAACTTATGAGCAGATAAACTTAATTTCGTGAGACAAATTCTTGAAGATTTACAAGATAATAAATTAAGGTAATTTTCCATACCGAAGCTAGTTTTAACATATGCATATAAAGTATTCAAAACATTATTGACAGCTATATCAGCAAACCATTTTTGTTTAAAACAATCTACAACCCTTTGTTTGAAAATCGGTATAAATGTTTTTACTTCAAATCTTTGTGGACAATTCCAAACATCAGAAAATCCATATTCATTTAGCAAATTTTTAATAAGGTATGCCCAGTTTTTTTTGTACCATTAAAATTACACTGTTCTAGCGCATTTTGATAAATACCTTTTAAAATAATATTATCTGTATTCATTAACTTAAACCAATACTTAATGATATGAACATATCTGTTAACATATAATGGATAGCGACAAGTTCACCATATATTGCAGAATTACATGCGCTCTGTTTTACTCCTAGTATAATTTTACAAAACTTAATATGAATTCTCTCAAGATCTTTAGATTTAGAGAAACCCCATATTGGACATGCGTAATTCAAAATAGATCCAACAAAAGAATCAAATAGTTGGAGCGAAATTAACTAAATATATGCAATAGGATGTGCAAATAACGGAATGTCGTAAGGAAATAGGATAAAACATGCGAAGAAACGAGATAATTGTCGCTTTTTCGAAATTTTGCATTGGTGTTAAAAAACTGAAGTTTGATGCACGAGGGAATAGCAGCACATCACTTCTTGCGTAAATTTAGCGTCAGAGTGGTTATAAACTTAATGCATGTTGAGTTACCGAATTAGAATTCCTTAAATTTGATATTTCACACTCGTTTCATTTCAATATGTGTTCAGTTCACATAGTTATTTGTTAAACATGTGGGCAACAAACTGGAAAACGGCTGATCCCTCGGAAAATATTACATGAAAATTGCAGACTCGGTTGGAGTCTGAAACATGAGGGATAATGAAAAAAACATCCATCACGCACCGCCAGCACCGGCTTGAGTGGCACGAGTTTTCAACTATTAAAAATGCTGGACTCAATGATCCGGAAGAACCAGAAAAATATAAGAACACTGAAGTGAAGTACGGGCAACTTTTAACAGCTACCACGCGACACTCGACATCTGCTGTTGTAAAGTATAAACATCTGAAAAAAGTGTGATTCCTCGGAAGCATTAATTAATTAACGAGATAACATGAAAATTGCAGACTCGGTTTTGTTGAGTCTGTACATGAGAGCTCATGAAAAAGTTAATGAAAACAGTTGTTCTACATCCATTAATGCAGCATAATAAACACACGTTTGTCTTTTCTACAGAGGAAAATTCATTTCAGGAATGGTGAAGAATATGTCATTTGAAGAAAATGTCACTTACGGGTCATCACAACAAATTCTGCTGCTATCGTAGTTGTCACGACAACAGCCGTGCTCGCAGTACGAATCACGTGTGGTTCCAGACGATACATCAACGTCAATCGTACAGTATTCTCCTCCGTAAACAGTTGCGGCTACAAATATAAAGTTTTGTACGTTTAGAAAATTCTTAAGAATCTATAGTTGTTAAATAGAGGGAAAAACAGCTTATTAAGTAAACTTTTAAAATGAGTACTTCCGCTTTCCTTTGAACTATATAACATGTACATTTTAACTTACACCCCTTGGTTTTCCCCTTAGTTTTTACGGAAAACCAAAGTACTTTTGTATTAATATTTGTGATGATATACTGTTATACATGTGTGCAAAAGAGCAATAAAATATGTCTAAATAATAATCAAAACGTTTTCGGAAAAATTTTTAGTAATAACTTGTAAAATTCGATGTCATATGGCGCATGGAGGAGATCATTGCACTTTAAGCGAGGCAAATATTTGCTGTTTTTTTGTGATAAATTTCTTCATCTGGATGGATACTTTTGACGAAGTAAGTGAAAATTTTCCTTTTTTTAAACACACATATACGACTAGACTCATGCTTTGGCCACACTCACTTTGAATTTCACTTTGAATTAAGACATATTTTTCTAAATTACGATTTTTACTTCATTTCTATGCAATATTTACATATAAATAGCCACCTTACGAACACAATCAAACCGGGAACAGAAATGTGAAAAAAATCCAACTAAATGTTTCAGAAATAGAGACCTGAAACCAAAATAAATAAATAAATAAAATGAAATATTGATAAAAAAAAATTGAAAATCACGCATTTTTTAACAAATGACTAACGATTAAAAATTATATATATTACTTATTTTTGTTTTGTTTTTACTGTAAAGTATATTACTTCTATCCTAAACAGCTGTTTGGTGTAGTTGAAAAACATAATTATTTATATTAGATATTAGTACACTAGAAAATACTAATCAAATATTAAAACTACATCTAACATATTTTTCATAAAAAAAAAAAAAACAACATGCAGGAGTACTAAGTATACTTTTGAACAGTGCATATTATTCCTTCTCGATTTTTTTGACATTTTTTTTTAACGTTTTCAAGGTGTAAACCGAGTAATTACTGAAAAGAAAATACCATCACATATTTTGTCTTTACTTTAATCTTAATTCCATGTTAAAGAACAACTTTTTTCACCTAAAAATCCAAAAGCGATGGTACAGAATATATGTATGAACAGCGACATTGTTACCAGTGTGAAATAAAAACTGTAAATGGTAATGAATGCAATTCCAATTACAAGATGACAAATTGACTAACCCGCCCGCCCAATAATGTGTGTTATGTGTTTATAAAGAGGATCTGCAAAGATTAAGTTTCTACAAAATCTGGCAAAAGTGGGGTTTATGCTGTGTTCTCACCGCCGATCAGATCGACTCGATCAAGCCCGATCAAGCGATCGGGTACCGGTCTAGCTCGGTCTGCATGCGTGATCGGGGGTGGTCGGACCGGCCAACCTTGGTCGGCATGGCTCGGGCTTCCTACCCGAATGTTTTTGACATGTCAAAAAAATTCGAGTAGCGATCGAGTATATAAGACGTCGAGAAGCGATCGTATAGTGATCAAGTAGAAGATCTAGTTGATCGAGAATAAATCGTGTAACGATCTAGTTAGGTCGGGTATACATCGTGTATACATCTTTTACCCGATCTGTACACGATTATCACGACTTCTACTCGAGCATTATCCGATCTGGTCGGGTGGAAATCTTGCAACGATCGAGCAGAGGTCCAGTTAGTCTAGTTGAGATCGTGCATGACTCGCGTATAGGTCTGGGTGATCGAGAAGAAGTCGGGATGTTGGTCGGGTTGTCGTCGAGAAGAAGTCGTAAACATGGACGACTTAAGGTCGTGTAGGAGTCGTAAATTTGCATTTAATCCAGCTTGGTCGGGCTTCATCGGGGAATTAATGTGATCGGGACAATCGAGTTGATCTGATCGGCGGTGAGAACATAGCTTTACTCGAAAGCAACGAAAACAAAAGCTTTATCAATGGAGGAATACCCCCAGGTGCTACCTTCTGTTCTCAAGTCATCCTAATATATATAAATTAGACTCTTTAATGGATAGCTCTGACCATTCAACTTTATTAAAACTTGCATTATTCTGCAAAATTATTATTTAAAAATTCAAATAACTCATTCTCCTGTATGGCATGATTTTCTTTACCTCTGTATGATCGTATTAACACAGACATAATTTAGATAGCATTTATGTAAAAAAATTCATGTGCAAAGAGTGAAGTTAAGTCGTGCTATATGTGTAATTATTATTATTATATATAATATATAATACAATATAATATATATATAATATATATATCTTGTGTTAATCACTTTTGAATAACTGTTCACTATATTGTTAACCTTTCATAAACTTATGCATATTATTCACCTTGATTTTGAATATTATCTTGAATATTTTGTTTCCTGATGAAAAGAACCCATCGTCTGTGTAAAATTTACAGTGTGTTATTGTCCAGTTGGGGTTTAATTCGATAGATTTTCAATACAACTCCTCGTAAACAGTTTGAAAAAAAACATATGCATTGTATCTGTTTTTTCGACTCATTTCCGCTTAATTAGCGGTGTGAGGTTTTTTTCCGATCAGAGTCACCTACACCAGTTATATATTTATTTAGACTTACTGTCCTTTTTGTCGGAGCGCCACGTATTCTGTGACCATTTCTTTTCTCTACTTTCTATTCCCCCCCCCACCCCCGATTTATAGAATGACCCGGAACTTTTACCTACTAAAATAGTAACAATGTTTACTCCAGATTTATCGGCTGCAGTCGATACATATATCCTACCTTATCGGTTTCAGACTGGATTGTTTACACCCCCACGTCGATACATATTTTTCAAATTGTTGTGTGAAAATATGATTATAAATAATTTATTAATAATGAGACATGGGGATGATAATGATACTCGTCGTCAATATCAAAAGTGTGACAGCACGGACCAGATACTTATTGAAGACTCAGTCGCTTTTGCATTTATTGTTTGACATCTGATACAGCTGTTCTTTTAGTCACATCACGGTTATGGGCTATGGTTTCAGTTCACCTGCGAGTGAAGATCTTCTGTGAGCTCTCCGTGAACATATTCCCCTGTCAAACATATTATGAAAGAAGCAAACGACCTAGCAGATCAAGACAGCTGGTTGCTCCTTCATTAGAAATACAATATACATTTCACAACTGTCGAGTAACGGGATGAGCATTGTACTTGGATTCATAACCGCATTTTATTAGTCGAATTGTTGCTATTGACTTCAAATAAAATTGCAATGTATAGAAAATGGGTGGTCGGCCACTTTATCCAGGTGAGCTAAATGGCCGACGAATTGTTGTCCAAGTGCTGGTTGGTATTGGTTACGCGGTATAACTTTATCTTGCCAAATCACCAATTGTATTAATGCATTCAAAATTGTTTGATTTATAGCCTTTCAGTGAGGTGTTCAATTAATGTAGCAACTTTTATTAGCACGTTCATCAAACAATGTCTAAATGCATACACTAGTTTGATATTAAGTTACCCCTTTACAAGGATAAGCAAACACAAGAAAGATATTATTCCAATTTTAAAATATGTAATCTATTTTATTTTTTGTATAAGAAATACTTACTTCAACCCGGAAGCAAAAACAAAAAAAAACTTATTGTTAGTGACAGCGACTCGTGGAATCAGTGATGGATTCCTGGATTTTTTTTAGATTTTTTTAATCAGCAACGAATTATGTGCGTATTGATTTTCCTTTTTTAAACGTTGTCATTTTCAGAATCTAGCATAGGATTATCGTATGTTAGGAGATATCCAGCTAATTTTCTGTCTGTCCTTGTTTCTACAAAGATGCATGGATTAAAAACGAAATACTTTCCTTTCTGTAACCCAGTGGCGGTGTTGTGGTATGAGAACACAAAAACTTCAAACCCTCAAATAATGGTAAATGGTTTCTCGTCCCTGTTACTTAGTTTGAAACAAATATCCTTATTAATTATTGGGGAAAGTAGATACATTTTAGTTTGTTGTTGAATGAAGTTGTTGAATACCTACATAATATTCCTTTTATTATTTTTATGCCACCGCAGCATCTACTATGCGGTGGCATATAGCGATTCACCTGTGTGTATGTATGTATGTTTGTGTGTTATATAGATTATAAATCTTCTTGTGAAAAACCACTAGTCCAATTTCAACCCAACTTTGCAGGATTGATCCTTGGGTGAAGGGCTTCCAAAGAATTTCATTCCATGCAGAAATCTGGTTGCCATGTCCAAAGGGAATTATAAGAATAAATTTAAAAAAATCTTCTTGTAAAGACCCAAAAGGCCTAGAGCTTAGATATTTTGCATAAGGCATTGTCTGGTAGACCTCTACCAAGATTGTTCAAATTATAGCCCTGGGGTCAAAATCGGCCTCGCCCAGGGGGTCATTGATTTTCAATATGTACATATAGTAAAAACTTAAAATACCTTCTTGTAAAGACCCAAAAGGCCTAGAGCTTAGATATTTTGCATAAGGCATTGTCTGGTAGACCCTTACCAAGATTGTTCAAATTATAGCCCTTGGTCAAAATCGGCCCCGCCCCGGGGGTCATTGCTTTTCACTATATGTATATAGTAAAAACTTTAAAAAAATTCTTCTAGCAATTGACAAATGCTAGAGGTTAGATATTTTGCATGAAACATTGTGTAGTGAACCTCTAGCAATATTGTTCAAATTATAGCCCTGGGGTCAAAATTGCCCTTGCCCCTGGGGTCATGGCTTTTAAATAAACACATATAATAAAAAATCAAAAAATCTTATTGTCTGAAGGTACCAGGCTTAGAGCTTAAATATTTGTGTCAAAATTGGCCCCGCCACAGGGGCCATAGGTTTTCCTTATATGTATATAGTAAAAACTTAAAAAATCATCTTCTCTAAATTTACAAAGGCTACAGTTAAGATATTTCGCATGAAAGATTGTGTAGTGAACCTCTAGCAAGATTGTACAAATTATAGCCCTGGGGTCAAAATTGGCCCCCTCCCCAGGGGTCATTGCTTTACACTATATGTACATATAGTAAAAACTTAAAATACCTTCTTGTAAAGACCCAAAAGGCCTAGAGCTTAGATATTTTGCATAAGGCATTGTCTGGTAGACCTCTACCCAGATTGTTCAAATCTTAGCCCTGGGGTCAAAATCGGCCCCGCCCCGGGGGTCATTGCTTTTCCTTATATGTATATAGTAAAAACTTAAAAAAATTCTTCTAGCAATTGACAAATGCTAGAGGTTAGATATTTTGCATGAAACATTGTGTAGTGAACATCTAGCAAGATTGTACAAATTATAGCCCTGGAGTCAAAATTGGCCCCACCCCCAGGGGTCATTGATTTTCACTATGTACATATAGTAAAAACTTAAAAAATCTTCTTCTATGATCTCTGAAGGTACAAGGCTTAGAGCTTTGATATTTGATATATAATATCATCTATTGGTCCTCTACTAAAGTTGTTTTAATTATGCCCCTAGTGTTAAAATTGTCCTGCCCCAGAGGCGATAGTTTTCCTTATATGTATAAAGTAAAAACTTGAAAAATCTTCCTCTCTGAATTGACAAAGGCTAGAGGGAAATATATGGCATGAGACTTTGCAAAGTGAACCTCTACCAAGATTGTTCAAATTATAGTACTGGGGTCAAAATTGGTTCCGCCCTTAGATTTTGATGATGTGACCTACTTTCTTGTCCTTTGATGTACAGCTATGAAATTTGAACCATGTGCACAGATTAAGATATAACGTGAACTTTGGTATCAGCTGACCTAGACTTTGAGTGTCTTACTGTGTTGTCCTGTGATGTAGTCATGAAATTTAGGCTGTGTGAAATATGGCCTTCAACACCAAATTCACTAGACTCAAGTGCATTGATATATTCCTACTCTGATCTTTTATTGAGTTAACCACTAATCTGATTATAAGAATTAGATAGGTCAGGGATCTATGCATTATGACAATCTTCAATTGTATAGAAACAAAAAAAAATATATATTCCTACACTACTATTTAGTGTTGTATTAATGCGGTGGCATAGCATTTTTCTCAAATGCAATCTTGTTATTGATTTTGTATCGTTTTTATGTGCTTTTTTGCATTGTCTTTCATACAATTGTTTGTCCTAACGAACATATCGAATCAACTTAACAACAATTAACATCTTAATTAACCTATAACATTTGGGATTTTGATTGAAACATTTAAACAAAGAACAAAATAATGGTT